GTCTTCCATCCCTCCAGGGTCGGTTAATTGGTACCAGACACGTCGTACATCGGTGCTTTTATCCTCCCAGACGTCTGGGAGCATAAAAGCACTGACTTGGACATCGGAATGTCCACTGCACGTTGTTGTATAGGCCACACACGCATGCGAAACCCCGAAACGATTTTGAACCCCAATACATCACTCTGTTCCTTTAATGTTGTGGTAACGGGCGTTGCTGACGACTTTGAGTTGATCATTGGATCGACCCAGAATCGACTTATGTAAAGGCAAAATTTGAGACTTCGAGAGCTCCTATAATCATGTGGATGCCCCAATACTGCCGTTGCATAATAAGCAATCTTCAAAAACAAGTCATTTCAATTTGGTTCCTATTTGAACACGCAACGCACTTCTTCGACTCTGAAGACCACAAATCGACTATTGTATAAACTTCTCTTCCAGTCAAAAACTCACCTCTGAACCTTTGTTCTGCTGAAGGGCACGGCATTATGATCTAGGGAACCTTACACAGTGCAGGCTCTCCTTCTTGCGATCAGAATCTGTGTCTTCCAAAAACAAGGTTCGGATGAAAATAAAGCAAAAACTTATCTAAACATCTAGCAGCTGCTACTAAATCAACTTTTTGAAGGAATCGAACAGATGACTAGATATGTCTAATTGATGGCATCTCGCAACATTGGCTTCTGATCTCTTGATTCCTTCAGTTTTTTCTACCCAAAAGTCATACTGCAACACTTGCTTTTGTGGATTTCTTAAGTTTTTTTTTTATAGAAATAAATATCAAAAATCTTGGATCAACCGAAGAAACACGTGTAAAAGTAGGAACTCACATATCTTTATGTCTGCTGTTGACTTGTCGTTAGCAGCAAGCAAGGGTTGAAGATGAAGTCAGCGTTTTCCGAGATAGACCGACGGTTGAGTCAGGGAGCAGAAAGCAAATTTTCCAGAACCGGTTGTTCATAGAAACAATCACTTCACAGTTCATTCTGGTTAGAAAAAAGTGTTTGGATGACGGATGGTAAGCTTTTTGAAAAATGACGTTGGCAACACTTTATAAGACGTGCTATTCACAACATTTTGCAGCAGCCGCACGGCCCTGTGACTTCCGCGGTTCCAAATTTTTAACAACTTCCTAACTTTCCAATGCGATAGTTTCATAAGGAAAGAAATCCTCCTCCGTTTGCTCACAATTCAAGACAAGTTCATCCCTAATGGGCCAAGTTGCCAGGAAACCAACGATGCTGTTGCCCATGGCATTTAGGCAGAATGGCCTGCGTAGTCCTAGCCCATCCAAGCAGTGGGGAGGACATTACTCCTGTGCTCTTACAGAAACTTCCCTCTTGCTGTTTTTATCTACAATAACCTTGATTTTTCAAACCAGTCACTTGTCTTTCAGTCCTACCACTTCTCCTTCATGCTGTTCATGTGCCAATTGTAATCCTTGAGCCAGTGATAAATTGATCAGATACTAAAAGTTTCTTTTTGTCAAAAAACAAGGGCCAGGGAACAGCTGCTTTTCTCAAGCATTCAGCCGAAACTGTTTAATTCCAATAGTCATACATACACAGTGCCACACTCATTTACTTCTAGCCTATAGCTCAGCATTGGTTCATCTGCGTTACGTGTTTCCCGGTTGATCGCCGATTTGCTTCAGTAGATATAGTAACGTCTACCCAATCTTCCATGTCGCGAGTCATTTCAACTCCCTAATACATTCAACTCTACGTTTCCCACACCAGACTTTATCAGAAAGTAACAAACTGTAGATGTGTGAACCTCTGTTTACCACTTTAGATGAAGTAAACATCACCTGCAGGAAAAACGCAACAAACTTAATACCAGTAGACAACGGGGGGTGCGCCATTCACGCGTGACCCCATTAGAGCTCTTCGCGCACGCAGCATCGTTTCAGTACCTTTCCGTTGAGATGGACCAAATAAATTTGCAGTAGTCCACGGCTTCACCATAAATAGAGCAAATCTCTTTACTACGGCAAAAAAAGCCCCTTCGAGATCGCGAATTCACCTCATAGGTCAACAATTTGCTTGTCAAACACTCAAAATGAGAATACCTTCAAATTTTTTGATCCTAGTAAACGCAATCCTTCTGTAAACGTGCATAGTTGGCCATTTCTTTATTTATTCTACTTATAAGTTCTTATTTCTTCCGTTATGATGGTAGGCATGATTTTTTAATGCGTTTTGTTCGATGACCTCATTATATTAACGCGTGAATCGCACCACACCCGTAGACAACCAATGCCTGGGAATCCTGTGCTGGATAATGCAGGCACTATTTACAACCTATAAGTACAGTATAGTGCTTGGAAGCGATAAATACTGTAGAAGAAGACGATTGTTCGAAATGAAAGCTTTTTCTTAAACTGCTCTAGCAAGATAGAAGTGATTGTAGTCTTTGTGTTTTCTTTATATGTACTTCTAGCTCCTTCTAGCTTCTGGCCTTTATGCTAGTCTGGATATAGTAGCTAGCAATCGATTGGATCTTCTATCGTAATTTTTTTTGGCAGTTGATGATTTGGAGAACTAGATCTAAAACTTTGGATCATATCGTTGAGGCGCTATGAAGCTGGCCATTTGTATTGCATTTGTACTCGTCTCATCATGCTCGGCCCTGCTTGGCATCATCGGAACAGAGCAATCAGTGGAAGTCATCGGAAAGCTCATTTGCAATGGGAAACCGGCAGATGATATAAAAGTGAAGCTGTACGACAAGGAAATGAGTGAGTCTGAGCTAAAGTTGAGTTGAACTTGGAATTGAGCCGCTCTTACTCATCTGTACTCAATATGAGGCTGAAGCTAATAGCTTAGCGAATAGGCTAATTTATTTTGACTAATTCCAGTCCTCGACAGTAAATTGGGTGAAGCTCACACCAACAAAGAAGGTTTCTTCAAGGTATCAGGACACAAAAGAGAACTGTCAACTCTCGATCCCAAAGTGAACATTTATCATCGATGCAACCATGACGGGGTGAGTTTTGTACATCATTGTTTGTTATCCACTTCCACGGTGGAACTAATGTCGTTACGGTATTCAGAAGAAAATGCTTTGTGTAATATTCGATCATTTTTTGGATGCGCCAGTTTGCACTGAAAATTATTGTGGTTATGAAAGGTTTATGGCAGTGATTTGTGGACGCTGACGTTAGCATCATGCGGTCATAGGTTGAGACCGTTCTTGGAACGGCATTAACTTTGTTTCCCACCATAATTTGAGCTGCTTAAGCGCTTAATTATTATAAAAAGCAAAATATAAAAGGTCAGGGCCAGCAAAATGAAAAACGACAAGAAATACACCGCTACGTTGCTGTACATGCTTATACCATTACATACATCAATATATCTTCACGAACTCAGATCAAGGCTTGTACTAGTGATATATGTCCGAGAGGATATGGAGACTCTACCAACGGAGATATCTGTAGCAACTGGTTGTCAACGTAGTCATTCACCGCTTGACTGTTTCAGTGTATACTCACGTCAGCGTATTCGACTTCCTTAAAAAGTCCGGTACCATGTGAATGAGCAATCACTTGCCAACGGATACCACTTTCTAGCCTAATGGCCCTCGAAATGTACAAGTAGGGGCGACTAATGCACAATCTTCTACTACTTTTTTCAAAACAATCATTATCAAAAGGTCATGAAAATATTCCCAATGAGGAAGGTCATTCTCTGCTGCTTACTCGAGATTCGAGAAAGCAATTTGCTATAGTGGCCGATTATGTGCTCTAATCCATCTTTCTTTGGATATGTTTCTAACTGCATTCAAAAGACCTGTCCCATATCCAACGAAATAATAAGCAAATCCAACAAATTGATCGGAATGACCAGTAAATCTTGGTTTTAGTAACGGGCAGACCGCTTATCTTGAAGGGCTGTTCATTGCTGTCTTGATACTTTCATGAAAGTGGAACCTCGAAATGAGTGATTATCAGACATAAGCACTTTGAAACTGAGCTGTACCTCTTTGCCATTTAAATAGTAATCAAAGCAAACCCCTCAAGAATACTCGCTTCCTCTACATTACATGTATAATTTCAGATTTGCGACAGGAAGTTCAGTATTAGTATCCCGGAAAATTTCATCACGGATGGAGAAAAACCGACTAAAACGTTTGACATCGGCACTATCAATCTCGCTGATCA